ATCTATCTATCTATCTATCTATCTATCTATCTATCTATCTATCTATCAATAGTCAAAGATATGTTTTTGTAGAAGTGAATTTTGGTGCCCCATTAGCAGCATTGTGTCAAATTTGCAAATTCAAAGAATATTTCAGAGAGTTTTTCATTTAAATTGTAATTCTCTAAACAGAAAATGTTCATTAGGTTAGGGCAGGTCATTAGATAATTAGATAATTAGATAATTAATGATATTCACCTGCTCCAAGTTCTTGAGAAGTTGCTTCCTCTTGCATGCTGCATCACTTTGATTCTGGCTATTCTTCATATTAGTTTAAAAAAATGTGAATAATCATAATTATTTAAATGCCTTCCCGCCCGGTGCTTCCTTCCCTCCCTCTCTCCCTGCCTCCTTCCCTTTCCTCCACTCCCCTCTTCCCAGACCACCCGTGGTCTCCGTCTCTCTGCAGCAGCGGCTGCAGATTACACAGTGTCATAAGCTTCCTATTTCTTGAAACTATTTGGGATTGCTGGGATTATCTGGCCTCATTTCCTCGGGAGTCGTCTTTGGAAAGCCGAATTTTAGTCTCTTAAGGCACAAGATTTTGCATCCCGACAGATTTGATTAATTAGCATCTATCAGCGGGTGGTACGTTAGCAGTGGGCTCACTTTTAGCCAAATCTGCCCACAAGCCCCCACTCACATCTCTGTTCCACTGGCTTTGTGGGGACTTTAAGCAGACCCCCCGACCTCTTCCACAATTGCAAAAATTTATAGACAATCAATTTGGGTGATTAAAACACGCATATTTTTGAGTTTGGGGGAAAAAAGTCAGAGACGAGAGAGAAGTGGATCTTTAAATTCTGTGTTCATTTATTGCATTTAATCACCGAAAATCCTGAGATGAAGAGGAATGTAACGTCATACTGACCGATCCATCTATTTCATACCACCTAATAATACAGCAATTAAAAAAACAACATAAAAGCAAAATTCGGTGTGGTTTCAAACATTTCAAGTAAAAAGATAAGCAACCTCGGTTTTAGCTCCTCACATATCGAGAGCGGATCTGATTCCAGAGTATTTATTTGTTTTTGCTCATTTCCAGTTTGCTCATTTCCAACACAAAGAATTAATCCAGGTTTATTTATCTATTTATTTATTCGTTTATTTGATAGGGACAAGTATGTTTCATGAAACATGTCACACACTATAAAATTTTAGCTAAGGCTATAATTCTCAACGCCTGTCCCCAGTTAGGCTTTTACACGAAACACAGTGACTGCATACAACAGAACAAATTACACACACTAAAACATCACAGATAAAAGATCAAGACAGTCAGATTATTAATGTCCACATGTCTGACCTCTCAATAAAAAGTCTTTACGTTTATGTTTAAAAAGGACCCAGTTTGACTCTCCCTTCAGTTCCATATGTTCCAGGTTTTTTGGTGCCTTGTACATCGAAAGCTGATTGTCCTAATGAGGTTTTGCGTCTGGGCACTGGACAGTTTCCACTGTGAGCTCCTCTTGTGACTGAGCCCACAGCTCTGAGAGGAACTGCACAGTCACTCAAGTTCAAAACTACGTTAATACCTCGGCGATACAAACACCCCCCCTCATGGTACGGAGGCGTCCAGCCTGAGGTGGAGCCCCGCCGGGGGCTGCAGGCTGGTCCAGGGCCAGTAGAGTCTGGGAACCAGGCAGGACAGGGGCAGGGCGGGGGCCTGGGGGCAGCACCAGCAGGGGCCTCTGTGGGGGAACGAGGGGCCTGTGGGGGGGTGGTAGTGGGCGCTCAGGGCAGGGAGGCGGAGCTGGCCCGCCATCTTTCTAACGCGCCGGCGGGCCCTCCTGCACTGGTAGTCCCCTTTGGAAAAGTCCTGGTAGTTGGCCGGGTGGATCGCCCAGAAGTGGCCTTTGCCGTTCTCGCTGCGCCCCGCTTTCACGAAGCAGTCGTTGAGAGACAGGTTGTGACGCACGCTGTTCCTCCAGTTTTTATCCTGTTGGGAGCAAATTAAGACAGTGATTTAGGCCCAACAAACATCTAAGCACCGAACTGGGCTGTCAAAAGGGCTGGTAATCGCCTTCGGGATGTTGTGTTGTGCCATTTTGTGCGTATGATCGCGGCGCCGCACGACACTCAGAGTTACCTTTCCAGCAAATCAACCAGTGATCAGCTTTAATCCACCGGGCTACATCCAATCTGTTATAGCACCTGGCGAAGGCAGAGGCCGTTTGCGACCTAGCAACAGGATTACTTTATTCCTGAATTTGCCAACAAGGAGATCATCTACTGCCCTTTTGAGCTCCCAAATGCCCAGACAGATTACCTGGGCCAACTAGAACTCTTTAGCCTGAGAAAATGGTGGCCGCCGTCTTTTCATTAGCGGCCAAAATCTCCATGTTTGCGGAGTCGAGCCAGTAAGGCTAAGCTAACCAGGCTTCAGAACAGAACAAGAGAGCCTGCTCCATTTCAGAGAGATGTCTACCCAAAGCAAATCTATCCAAATCACTCCTGTCTGCATATCCACAGCAAAGCTTACAACTCGATGTGTGTTTCCTCCTGTTATAAAAACAGAGTGAGTCAAGGACTTGGAGGAACGTTACCTTACTCTTGAAGAAAGGGTAGTGGTCCATGATCCACTGGTAGATGTCACATAGCAGCAGCTTCTTCTCCTCCGAAGCCAAAATTGCCTTGGAGATCAGAGCTATGTAGGACTGGTTGGGTTTGTTCACAGATTGTTCCAGATTGCAGCCCTCTGTGGTCGTGGTCACCTCCTCCACCTGCTTCCCTCCTCGGTCTTCATCCCCCTCCTCTTCGACGGCTTTGCTTTCTTCAGTCTCTGCCCCTGACTTGTGTGGACTCTCCCCCCGTGTGTCACCGGGGATCCTCTCCTCTTTGAGTTGGGGATTTTGATGATTTAGCACGCCATTCTCTGCCTGCCCCGCCGCTCCACTCTCTGTTGCTTCTTCTTTAGGACCTTTAACTCTATTGAACAGAAGGTAGTCGATAGTGAAACCCAGTCCCAACCGGTCTCTGCTTCCATTGATACCGCTCCTGTTCTCCGCAGTCATTTCTGGGTTGAGATGTTTCAGACTCATCGCTGAGCTTTGTTTGGTTCCACGCTGAAAAAGCTCCTTCCCAAAGTCTTCTCAGAGCTGTCACTTGGTGTTTCACAGCATGACTTTTCTCTTAAAAACAATACCCCTCATCAGACGATTGCCTTGGTAACATTTTAGTCACTCGTCGAAATCTTACTGTTTACTAGATCACTGATGAGATGAGCTCCTAAACTGTTGTTAACCTTGACACGCTCACGCCTGACACAATCACAACCTGTGGAAATGACGTCAGACCACAGGGCTAAAAATACGGCCACTTTGTTTGTCGGAAAAAAAAAAATGGTCAGACAAGGGGTTTTCTTGGCAGATCTGCCGATAAAACAAACCAAAAAAACCTCTCTCGTGGGATCCGACAGTCTTTTTCCTGAATCAAAGAACTGTGATTCACAGTTGTGAAGTCGCCTATTTATATGAGTGTGAATTTATCCCTCACAGAAAGGGGCAAAGGAGGCACAGCGGATGTCCAGGTAGGGGGTCTGAATTGAGGCGGATTATTTTTATTAACCTAAGCAAATCTTTGTAATTACGGGAGATTAAACACTCAAGATTTAGTAAGACATGGTGTGCCAAGGATAGATGCTGTGGAATCAAAGGCCTTTAATGGGGATGGTCCACAGAAGAGTTACCAGAGAGCACAATTAATGGGTCAAGTTCAGTAATTAGGAGTTTATTCATAACTCTTAATGGAGGAGAGTATTAAGGTATTAGGCAGCCACTTCGAGTTACAACATGATGGGAGAGCAAAAGATATCCCTTATTAAGACTAATTAATGTCTTGTTTTCAACAGGAACGTTTTAGGAAAAAAAAAACTATTTCTATTACAAAGTTAACAAACAAGGTATCATCATAAAAGCTTTTTTGAATTATGTTGGGTATTTTCATTACTGACTTTTCACATTACTGACATGTATGTTTTGTATTTCTGAGATATCCAAATACAACTGAAGTTTTAAGTACTGCTTGGGAATAAATAACCTTTGTGTTCTCATACATGATGGTGTATTAAAAAAAATCCTCAATAATTATGTGTGTTATACTGCCAAATTAAAAAAAAACCCTAATTTTTAACCCTAAATCATTACCCCATTTACCACCTTTGCCCTGAAAAATTCTGACTTTCATATTTTTAGCCCTGAGTTTATCAAAAATAATAGCCATTACTTAATTCTGATGTTATATCTTTCATTTTAAACACACAAAATTCAAACATTCTTTAAAAATCACTCTCCACTGTTGTGAAGATTTAAATGAAATACAATAAATGACTTCATGTTCAGGTGTAGAGATAAAAAAAAAAATACAATCCAAAATCTTTTTAATAGTAAATCTCCATGGATACATGTAACATGAAAAATGAATCGATTAAAATCTCATTCTTTGGGGCTACTAAAATGTAATTATTCTGTTTTTAAACTTGTTATTTCAAGCAATTGAATTATTTAAAGACAGAAAATGCTCTTTGCATCATTTTATCAGAGTAACACACGAGACTTTGTTGAATCATTAAAATACTTAAATTCAAGATGTTGCTTCAGACGTTTTATTACAGCTTTGAAAATTCATGTTTATCTCTGTCTCTTAGCTCTGGAAACAAAAAGTCCCATTTGATGGTAACTGTGTCTTTAGTGATCGACTGTGCCAGTGTTTAGTTGTGGAAATGGGAAGAACATCCAAATGACACATAATTGACCCCATCATGAGCGCGGTGGTCTTCAGCTGCTGCTGTAATGGGGCCAAACCAGACAGAGCGGCTTTGTTCAGCCTAACCAAACCACGGATCAAGTCATGGACCATGTTGCCCTCTTCTGTTTAAATAATGCAACCAGAAATGTAAACACAGCTCAGACCACTGTCACATGTTGCCTTGTGAGCCTTTTATTATTACCTGTCAATTCCTTTTTATTATCTTTTTACTTGTTAATAGCTACAATAATAAAATTTTTAAATATATATATATTTAAAGACTGGTTAAAGCATCAATGCCAGCTGATCTGTATTTTTAGTTTTTTTTTTAAGGCTAAAACAGGTGTTAAAGCAACAAAAATACTGGAATATTTTAAATTATCACTTGTCAATTTTATTTGTAAATAATGTGAAGCCTGGGTAAGCTTTCCTAGAGACCCAGAAATCTTTCCGTTTGAAAATGTGGAGTTTTATTGACACTTGAGGTCTAAAACGAAGCCTAAAGAAAACACCACTTTATTACATGATACTGCAATTTCCTCAATTGATTTTTCTGTTTCCATGTGGCTATTCTTTGCCCAGATATCAGGAGGCTGTTACAAAAGCAGGGCTGGATTTTTGGAAGAGGTGGAACACGTGAACTTTTTTTCAAAAGTCCCATTTCCATGATGATGTTTTTTGTTTTAAATGGTACTTAGTTTACACTTTCTCTGACGTGTGCTCGCAGGGGTGCAATATTTGCTTAATTAAGACATTTATACGTAATTTTGAACGGGTCACAAACAAAGCTTTACCTTAACAGAGCTCGGCTGTAAGCAAAACCAGAAACGGAGTTTTTCCTGGGAAGGGATTTATCCAGACCATCCGACCCAATCCACTTGACACCCCGTACTTTACTCCCACGTTGAATTTAAACAGTCTTTAAGGCAAGTGATCAAAATATCTCAATATTATTAAACCGACACGTGGTTGGTTTCAAATAACTTTCACACATGTTTTAATTAGTGAACGTTGAGGCCTATTAAAGAAAGCAGACCTGTCTCTGAGTAGTTTTTAAAAGGTGTACTGTATCTTTAAAACACGGTAGCCCCTCCTATTTCGAACGTTGGGCTTCAGTTGCTGATGGAAAGTTCGCTCCGATTGGCTGAAGTGGCCCGTCAATCAAAGTGGCCTCGGTGTTTCATTGGTGAAACACTTGGCGTCATTTCTGACTCTCGCGGTACTGCTGCACGAAGATGGCGGCCGAACTGGTGGAAGCGATGGTAGGTAGAGCTTGGTTGGCTTTCGCTTGATGTTAGACGTACGCGGGAGTGTGAGTTGAAAGTCACACCGGTTGTGGGATAAATAGAGGTTCAATATGCGTATTGTTAAGAGTGTATACTTCCACAGATGGGGCGTATTGTAATTGCTACGAAACGAACTAGCCTGTTAGGCTAATGTAGCTACCCTGCTAGGTAATGTTAACCAGGCAAGTGCGTTGCCTCGGCTAGCATCATGCTCTGGAGGAAGGCAGCGAAAATGAATGATACCACCACACAAGCATCTGAGTGTCTGGTGCCAGCATACCTCCCGGTGTGTCGCCATTTGACGCTATTTGGGCTGACAAATACGTGTGTGTTAGGGTGGCCGTTTTTGTTTATGAAGCTGTACACCTGTCAAAACGTTCTTTAGCCATTATTGGGTACCCTCACTGGGTCTGAATAGAGGCTAGCTTGCTGATAGCGCAAACTGCTATGGCCATGATAAAGTGAGACTGAACAGATATTGATGGTCCTGACTTAATGGAACAGTTAGGGTATCAAAAGCCTAATGATCAGCATCCGGCTCGATGTGCCGATTGTATGTAGATAAAACACAGTTATCCATCCATCTGCCCAAATAAACACATGCAGACAAAGAGGAGGCATGTCAGAGACTCAGGATTTTTCAGCTACAACATTTGGTATTTGGCAAGTGCTCCACTTCACTGCTGTCTCTTAAATTGGAACCCTGATGTAAGATCTGTATTTGCTATTTGTCTCATTTGAAGATAAATAGATGGATGCTTTATTGGGGAAAGTCAAGTTTCAGCTGCTCTATTTACTACTTCTAACCGGTGTTGGAATGAGCTACCCCACTTCCTCTGGGGTTTGTCGAAACAAACACAATCTAACGATGATGCAGCTACTAGGCATCAGGATTTATTTAACACAGTCTGTATTTTGAGTTTTTTATTTTTTATTTTAAGCTTTTGGATGGAAGACTGTTACCTGTAAATAGAGCAGTTATAAATGTAATATTTATACAGTCTTTCCTCTGTCCCATAGTCCAACAAATGACTTGATTCACATTGATCGGATTGTTTTGTCATCTGGATAAATGCCTACTTTGGCTCGCTGGCTGTATGATCAGATGGTGTTTAAACAATATTGGAAATGAAAACGGCTCACAAAAAAGACTTGAATCTGTTCCTTCACCACAGAATAAAGGCGGTATAATCGTTGGTTTTATAATTAATGCAGGATGATGGCCATCGGGCCGTTAACAGGATCAGATGGAAGCTTTTTTTAAATAAAGTTCTTCAGTAGTATTTATTATGAGTTTTTTCTGATTGTTGTTGTTGTCATCATCTCAGTCTCTTTTAGCTTTTGTTCATCTCCTGTAGCAGAGTTAGACTTCTAAAATTAAAATTTACTCTAAAACATTTAATTGGCTGTAATGTAAAAGTAAAATGAGTAAACTCTCATTTTGTCTAGGACTCAGGAATTCAGGAACTTATTCAGGAATAAAAAATGGCCAGGGGCTGATATCAGTGGCCCATTGTTTTGTGCTCTTTATCTTGTTTTGTTTTTTTATTTGAGTGCAGTCTGACATGGGAACTCATCAGTTGTGGTTTAGTTGGAGTTTCCCCCCTTGAGTTATTTCACTCCTGTTGATAAGGATATCCTGATAGATCTCGGAGTGCACATTTAAATGGATTTTTTGTCATCTTAATGAAAATCTAAACCTGTAACTGGAGCAGTTTGGATTGATCTTTAAATCGTTTGTTGATACGGTTGATCCACACTAACTGTTGGCTCTCTAATCTTTCCGTCTCGCCTTCCGTCCAGAACATGGTGAAAAGTTTCCGGGTCTCAGACCTGCAGACGCTGCTGGCCTCGATGGGCCGCAGTAAAAGTGGCCTGAAGCAGGACCTGGTGGGCCGCGCTCTGAGGCTGGTGCAGACCGAGTACAGCCCAGAGCTGCTGAAGAACGTCCGGCAGCTTTACGAGTCGCGCTTTCCCAAAGCCTCCGGTTGGCTGGCGGCGCGGCGCCCCGAAGGCGTGCCGGTCGCTTATTCGTCCCTCAGCTCCTCCCCCACCGCCACCTCTCAGGGCGCAGACTACCTCAACGGCATCTCCAAACCGCTCCCTGCTCCCGCGGCAGAGGTCAAGCTGGTCGCACTGCCCTTCTACCAAACCCTAGAGACCCTGCTGCCACCCACAGAGCTAAGTGAGTCCAGACCGTGTGGTGGACCGGCGTTCTTTTGTTTGGAATTATTGTTCCAAATGATTGTGTTTTTTTTGCTGCTATTTCTCATGAGGTCTGTCGCATTTGTTCACACAGTTGCCCAGAACAATGAGAAACTGCAGGACAGTCAATGCATCTTTGAATTAACACCGACACAAGCAGACCAGATCAGAAATGCAAGGTAATTCTTAAAAGAAATCTGTATTTCCTTAATTACAATTTGTGCTTACATTTATTCAACTTAATTCATTCAAATTGTTTTTACATTCCCAGTGAACTTCGTCCTGGAATCCGATCAATCCAAGTTGTTCTTAGGTAAGCATTCGGGTTTTTCTCACTCCTGTTTTCTGGAATGTTTTGATGCTGTTTCACAAAAGGAAAAGTCCTTAAATTCAGCTAAAATCTGTATGAATTGTACCTTTGATCAGAATCTCTTGTTTGTTCATATGGAAGGCTGTGATGGCCCTTTATCCATTGGCCAGCAGGTCCTTTTATTCTTTTCTTTTCTCTCTTTACAGAATCTGTTACACGGACTCCATCGGTGTTCAGGAGGACCAGTATCCTCCCAACATCGCTGTTAAGGTCAACCAGTCCTACTGTCATGTGCCGGTGAGTTCACAGATAAAAGCCACAAATCCAGAACACACAAAAGACTAAGTTTGGATTATCTTTCTGTTATCACTGGACCTCCTCAGTTAAAATGCACCCTGTGAGCTCATCTGGATGAGCTGGGTATTAAGGAAGGTTGTGTTGTCACAGCTCCGCTTACAAATGATTGGTTTGATATGGGTTTTTGTTCTTACTACTGATGTATGTAGAACAAGGCAAGAGAAAGGCTCTCCACGCTCACACTGTCAGAAACAAATTAGCTGGACCTCATCAGAAAGTTGCATTTATTTATCTGTTTTTTTCAGTCAGTTACAGACTGTTGTGGTGGGAATACGAGGCATCCAAACAAAAGTTAACTTTCTTGTGTTCGCAGAGAGCTCTATCACAAAATCAAACCAGAAAGTCTGCTGTCAGAAGTCGTTGTTGTGAAAACAGGAATGAAAGAGTTTGTGTTGTTGGGTGTGTGGCTCCAACAACACAAACTCATTTGAAACCATGTTGCTTCATGGCAAAAAATTGGCATTTATCTTGTATGAACAAAATCAGCTGTAATCTGTTAGAACTGGTTATGGCTAAACATCCTGCAGAGTGTTGAATAGATACTTTCTCTAGCCCTTTTCATTTATTTATTTGTTTATTTATAAGTACCTTCATGCAATTAAAGATAATTTACTGATGTAGAAGGAACTTTCTAAAGCCTAAGTCATTGTCCTAATTAGTGGATAATGCCCTATTTTCTGTACCGTGTGGTTAATTTACAGTGTGTTGATCGACTAGAACTGAAACCGATGAGAAGGGGAATTTTTAAACTACTGCGTGGCTCATGTTGTTTGCTGCGTGTGCTGTAAATAAGAGGTCGCGGTTTCCAGGGACTCGGCTCATGCATCCGGGGAAAGGTTCTACCTCCCGTTAAGATAAATACTCTCATACTAGGACCTCCTCTGAGAGACAGCAGTTCCCTGTTTAGAGGGGCTGTGGGTAAATGAGCTGTAGCCTGGTGTGTGAATGTTGGACTTCTCCTCCTTTAAACGCTTTCCATTGTCTCTTTACAGGGTTATTATCCCTCCAACAAGCCTGGCGTTGAACCCCGTCGTCCTTGCCGCCCCGTAAACATCACTCCCTGGTTGCATCTCTCCAGTATCACCAACAGAGTCACCATCACCTGGGGGAACTTCGGCAAGGTGAGAGTCCCGCTTAGCTCGGAGCTGAGATTCTCTCCACCGAGTCGGAGACCGTAGCAAAGCATGCTGGGGCCTGCAGAACCCGTATTTTATTTTTTGTAGCTCTTCAGCGTTGCCTCACAGTTCTGTTGACCAGATTGTGTGTGTGTTTGTGAGAGATGAGTCATTTAGAAGAGTGTCGATATTTAAGCCTAAAGTAGGACGTGATAAAACCAGCCTGTGGGTTTAGTCTTTTTTCATTTTTATTTATTTTATTTTCACAACAAAAACATAAAAACAGTATTAGGTTTCACTAAAAAAGAAAATGTGATGGACAACTGCCGAAAAACCCTCAAGGGGCTTAATGAGTGGCAGTCTCCATAAAAACAAATATATTTTTCAATTTCAAACATCTACATGATATTGTATAAAAAATAAAAATAAAAACAACAAAAAAACAAAACAACAACATTTCTTTGTATAGAACAATTTAAAATATCATTTATAGCACAAATCCATATGGAAAATTCAGACAACTTAGTAGCAGCAATTTTACTCTCCGTTTAAATAGTTCTTTAGAAAGATCTGTCAGTGATGTGGGAAGACTGTTCCATACCTTTGATCCTCTGTATAATATAATATAATACACTAAACTGTGTTTGAGTTGTACGAGAGTAAGGAGGTCTGATAAGATAACTACTACGAGTTGGATACTGGTGAAATTCATTATTAAAAGTAGAAATATTACAAAAGTGTTGGGGCAGTTAGTCTTTATTTTCTGTGTAACTTGACCTTTATAAGGGAAGTCCTGCCAGAGGAATCCCTCAGAGCTGCTGTTAACGCTGGATTTGATGGTCAGTTTGTGATATGTGTGTCCTTGTTTTCAGCGCTACTCGGTGGCGGTCTACCTGGTGAAGGTCTACACCGCAGCAGACCTCTTCAACCAGCTGAAGCTCTGCTCCGTGGAGAGCGCCGAACGCTGTCGCGAACGCAGTGAGTAAAGCCCTCACACCCCGGCTGTTTGTTTTTTTTTTTTAACTCATTGGCTGCCAAAGACGTCTATAGACGTCTTTTATGTTTTTCAACGAGAGTGGCTGGGGGACGATCTGCTAAAGCTTGTCCGTAAATATCGGCTTCTAGACAGAGTAAGTAGTAACAAATTGAGGGGGCAGTGCCACTTTTGATGGGAGATGAGCATAGACTGTAGGCAAATAAGAAAAACGCAATGGTTAGCTATGCGAAAAATGGCGCCGGTGAGACGCAAGTCGAGGAAGAACGGAATAAGATAGAAACACATTTTTTTCCTGATGAAAGAAGAGAGTCTACTCTTTCTTTTGGTGTGTTCGGTGTTCACATAGTCATGGCACAAACTATTCTGTGGCTCTTGAAAAATCAGTCAAAATGCTCAAAAAACTCTGGAAGTATGGGACTCTCTGTTCAGAAAATGACTTGCAGTCAATGGGTTAATTTATGTATTTATTTATTTTTTCATCAGTTATTTATTTCTTATATTGTGGGCATAGGCACTGATTGATGGCCCTTTTTTTTACATCTCGTTGTTTCTTGTGACAATGACAATAAAGATTCATTCATTCATGTGAGACTCTTGCTCTTCCTTTCCAGTCCAGGACAAACTCCGCTTCGATCCAGAGAGTGAAATTGCGACCACAGGCCTCAGAGTTTCTCTCATCTGTCCAGTGAGTCCTCCTGCAAACCGGTTTAGAAGTGAAGACTTATGAATGCCGACGTTTGAGCCTAACTGCCTCCTCCTCCTCTTCCTCTCAGCTGGTGAAGATGCGGCTCGGCGTTCCCTGCCGAGTTCTGACATGCGCCCACCTTCAGTGTTTCGACGCAGTCTTCTTCCTGCAGATGAATGAGAAGAAGCCCACGTGGACCTGCCCCGTCTGCGACAAGCCGGCTCCCTTTGAGCTGCTCACCATCGATGGGTGAGGAAGCACAACCTCCTTTTTTTGTGTGTGTTCTCATAAAACCGAGCCAGTCTCCCAAATCCCTGAAGAGCTCATGGGGAACCTGGTGCTGATCTCTTATATTTTCATTTTAAAAAGTTTGGCACAAAGACTCGGTTGTGTTTCTGTTGCTGCTCTAACTTGCAGTTCAAGGCTTTCTGACCCTGAAAACTGCTTTGCATGTGACAATGTATTAATGTGAAGAACGGCTCTCTCCCTTTTCTTGTTTTAGTAGTAACATTTGGATCATAAATGTGATGAAAATCCATGGTATAACAATTCTGATTTGGACCAAAGTACGTCAGCACTTTTAGTAAACTTCTGTAAGGACTTCCTGATAACTGAGACTGTACTGAGATGGACTTGTTCTGCTCTGTTTTGGTCGTGAGTCCAGCCTGTGGGCAGACGGGCCAAAACGAAGAGTTTCCTTTGGAGCTTTTCTGGTCAAATCTGTTCTTCGGGGAATCCCTTACCTCCGCTGTCCTTTCAGGCTGTTGTCCGAGATCCTGAAGGAGACGAACGAAGACATCGAGGAGATCGAATACTTAACAGACGGCTCCTGGCGACCCATCAGGGATGAGAAGGAGAGGGACAAAGAGCGGGAGCGCAGCCACACCCCGGAGTACCGAGTCGTCGATATATGTGAGTACCCAGCCCGGTTCGTTCTGGTTCTGGTTCCTGGTTGATTGACGGGGGTCTAAAGCAGTGTTTTTCAACCACTGTGCCTCGGCACACTAGTGTGCCGCGAGTTATCATCAGGTGTGCCGTAGAAAATCATCCTATTTCACCTAATTGGTCTAAAAAAAAATTTTGAGAAGGAATTAAATATCTGCAAATAATATGCCATTTTTGAGTGTCTGTGCTGTACTAGTGACTGGTGGCGTAATCATGTAATAATTCCTTATGACTAGATTTTGTATATAATTTTGTATATTGAAGTGGACATGTTAAGTGCAATTTGAAAGAAGAAATATAAAATATGATAAAAAAACATTTTTGTGTTTATTTGATTTCTATTCATGACACTTAAGGTAAGATAAGAATAAAATAAGAATAACTATAGTGTTACCATAGGCGGCTACAGATTTGTTTGACATTTTTGGTTGGTGTGCCTCGAGATTTTTTCAATGAAAAACTGTACCTTGGCTCAAAAAAGGTTGAAAAACACTGACCTAAAGCCAGCTCTCTCTCTCTTTTTTAACAGGCATTCCTGAAGCGAACGGTCACTCGCCGGCCCACAGCAGCACCAGCCTGTCGGGCAAGTCCGGGAGCGGTTCGGTGGGCGTGTCCGGAGGAGCCCCGGGGGGGGCAGGGGGGGGGGGGGGCGTGGTGGTGGATCTGACTCTGGACTCCTCCTCGGAGGAGGAAGGGGGCGGGGCGGGCGGGGACAGCGAGGACACGGAGGACAGCGCCGACAGCCCCGCCCCCAAAAGGGGCCGGTACAACTACGACAAAGACCTGGTCACCGCGTACTGACCCCCCCCCCCCCCCCCCCCCCCCCCCCCGTCCCCTCACAGACTGACGCGCAGAGACACAGAGGCAAGGGGGCTGGACACCCGAGGACAGGGACATGGTAACCCACTAGACCCCCCCCCCCCCCCCCCCCAAACCATCCTCATGCCCTGACTCCGGTCCGAAACCCAGACGACACAAACACTTACTCAAACCTGCTCTGCCAATGGATCTGAAGCATAGAGTGATGAGGATTCCTCTGTTTACTGCACACCACTGGAAGCGGCTCCCTTTGGCCATTTGTCACCTTACAGTGAGTATCTGTCCTGTCCTGCCTTTTCTAAAGAGGCTGAATGGATTGAGCAACCCACCCCCCCGCCCTCCCCCCACCCACCGCCAGTCAACACCACCCTCGCTCCTCTCTCTCTCCAGACTATCCTTTCTCTCCATCCATCTTTGTATAGACTTGAAATCACAGGCTCTTTTAGCCATGGGCGTTCGTAGTTTGCTTCTCTGTCACATCAGTGATGAGCAGGCGAGTTGAGAACGGGGGCTCCTCAGTAGGTTTTGGTCCAAGGTTTAAAAAAACAAACAAACAAAAAAACAACAAATGGAAAGTTACCACAGAAACCTGGAAATTGAAACGGTTTTCTTTGTTCTCAGAATTTCTTCAAAGCTTGAATGGGTTGTTTCAGGATTTTCTCTTGAATCTGACAGAACACAGACGTCAGTGTGCGATGCGTTCCATCTTTATTTTGTTTTGTGATTAAAAGAAGAACCTACCTCAGTCATAAGTACTTTGCAGACTGACCAGGGAGTAGCTTCGAAAGAAGTGGGCGACAGAAGAATTGACGAGTCCTGAAGCCAATTTTTACACTGGAGCTAATTTTCCTTCATCTTGTGTTGCTTTTGTTTAGTTTTTTTTTTTTCTGTTTAAGTTTCACATGTTCCACACATCTGTGTTCCCTCTGCAGCAGCAGCAAAGTGTTTGGAGGACAGGAGGTGGGTCAGGGGGAGGAAAAGGGCCACTCTGTGGGACGTTATGGGTCCAGAATTAAATGGCTGACACGTCATAAATCCAACAGTTACAGGGCCAACGCCGACATTTTAAAACAGAACGGTTCTGAGGTTGTGGTGCCTTTTTCTTTTTCTTTTCCTTTTATTTTTTAATATAAGGTTGATGAAATTGGAGCCCGTTGTTTGACGGCCACCTGAACTGGCCTGTAGTTGAAATCTGGGCCGGGAGTTTTATCCACTTCCTGTTTAGAGTCAGAGGGCCAAATGGAGCTGGACTCAGAGATGCTAACATCCTTTTTACGCGGCGTTTATCTGACGGCGTTCCGCTAGCTGTCGTTTGTGGTCGTTTCCGTGACGTTTGGCCCCCCCCCCGCTGCTGTAACCGATGCTTTTCTTCTCCCCTGAACGCCTCCGGCCCGGGTCGGGGCTCCACTCTGATTCCTCTGCTGCAGCAGGTCCAAAACAGCCGACACGAAGCAACAGAACGAACCCTGAGCGAGTGCAGCCCACCAGAGTTAAAGCCCCTGATTAAATTACTGGTGGGTCTGTTTGGAACTAGAGGAGAAGCTTCCTCCAGCTGCCCCTCTCACAGGAGGAGAGCTGGTGTGCGTTTGATTGTCGTCTTCTTCTCCTCGTGGCTCAATCAGAGGAGATTCTGCTTCTGTTTCTCCGCCTCGTGCAGAGAAAAGGCACCCGGGGCCTCCTCTCCCAGTGCATCCTGGGATACGGTTCACGATTGGACAAAGCAGATTGAGTCAGCTCAAGTCTTCCGTGTTTTTTCCTCCCCCTTTTGACTCGATAAATATATACTGATTAGATTTGGGAATCGGCACAAAACGGACGGCACCGCCTGAGCTCAGTAAGATTTTCTATTTAAGGAGCTTTGAAGCAAATTTAAATGACGAGAACTCTAGCTGTTGCCTTTATGTAGGCAATTTGAATTTGTAAGTACAGTGAAAATGACACTTTCTCAGTGTTTTGCTAGGTTTAGATCAGTCTTTGAGTGGATCTAAATCCTTCATTGCCTTTTGGCTAAAGATGAGGAAGATGAGGTGGTGCAGTTGCTGCTGTGGAACTGAGCCAGATACATTAGCAGGTAGGTTTGGGCCTTAGACAGAGCCGAGGGTCTGGTCTTTGTTTCTTTTTCTTTTTTTTTCTTTTTTTTGTAGTGAAATCTCTTATGATAATGCATAAGGTAGCATGGGCAGAGGCTTACAATCCATGATGTACATGTTTTGTTTGTTGTGTTTTTTTATATGTTCATATTAAAAGACAATAAAATTTAAATAATATTTTATTAAGCCTTCAGTTGCCTCCAGTTCTTGTAGGCGAACAGACAATACGGAGCTGTTGGGGGCAGCAGCACTGGCCGCTGATGCCCCCCAGAACAGGGAGGACTGCTCAGAGTGGGGATTGTCATGTCCTGTACCAAACGCTCAGACCTGGGGACACATTTGATGCCTGTTGAGGATGAAACTGTAAAATTTGAAATGATCGTATTCTAACAGCTGTTATTGACGTGTTGAAATAATTAAAATCAGTTCTTAAAAACCTTCCTGCCTGTGTCTTTATTTTGAAATTTTTTTTATCTCTTGTCACGCTGATCATAATCTTAGCTCCAATTTACTCACTTAGAAGTTGAAGTGAACTAAATATTAACTAACTGCCTATTTAGATTGTGTATATATACGAAAGAAAATGTGGACAATTCTGTCTGGAAACTCATTCCCTCCTTAAAGGCACTCAAACATGATTTTGTATACATTGTTTTGCAACTTTAAAAATATCAAGGGAGCTATTCTTAATCTTTGGTTTTTTTTCTGAGGGCTCATTCAAAGGTTGTAACAAAGATTAATATAATTAACATGTATTTAATATCAGATTTCCACAATAGTTTCTGCACATTTTTTCTATAAAATGCAAAAGCAGGACATTTCTCAAAACAGGCCGGCAGTAACATATTATGATACATCATGTGTTAGAAATCTATGTATTAAATATAAAACTGATCAGCTGAAGAGTTACATTTAATATTTAAACCAAGGGTCCTAGAGCAGGGACTCTGGAGACATGAAGGGCAGTTTGTGTTTTGGTTGGGAAATACTGACTTAATATGTATTCTATTTGGATGTCCAACTTGAAATCTATCAAATTGATTGGATTACATAACCAAACAACTTTAAACTCATCTCATCGCTTGGTCTTTTGTTATATGAAAATGACATAAATTGCTGTTACTCCGATTATTCCGGGTTCATAGAAATACGCAGTACCTCGTTTTCGCCACTGGGTGGCGGTAACGTATTTGGCTGCTTGCGTATCAACTGACATTAAACGCGTAAGAAAGCCTCACAAGGTGGCTCGGAAATGGTTGGCTGATTTGGACTTTACGTTATTAAAATAGAAAGTTTACCACAGCTATTATAAACTATCCATATCATACACCCCTCGTGCCCCCCTCCCCGCTAACCCTAACCCCAAAATCTCGCATTTACTCGGCTGACAGTTTGGGTCCGGAGCGCTTTCTGCTCGGCTCCCGGTGGGTGTCGCACAGGTCTGGAGCTCTTCCTGTTTTCAGGCACCAACGGTCAGCAGCGCGGCGCTCCTCGCTTCAGAGCCCCACGCCCTGAGCTCAAACACGGACCTCCTACCGTCCCACCACCGCAGGGTTGGTCGGTGCTCCGGAGAAGCTGCCGGTGAAAGTGACCCGTAGGCGAGGAGAGGCCAGCGGGCTGCAGCGCGGACTGAGGGACGCATTTTTTCCCGGAGCTAGCACTTAGCTAGTAGCTGCTAGGTGGCTAATGGGTAGCAGCAGCAGGTAGATAACCCTGAAGAAACAGGATAAAAGACACGCGTCGATTCAAAGTCTGTTACAACCGAACAATTATCCAACTTTTAAAGGGCATATCGGCATGATACGTTTGACCAGAGTAGCAAACTGACATGCTACCGAAAGTATATTAACTTTGCTAACGCTAGCTAGCATCTGCCCCTAACCACCTGAAGCGGATCCTGTTGCTTTCACAGTCTGACTTTAGAGCGAGGAAAAGGTTAAGTTAGCGGCTGCCCAGCTCTCTGCACGAAGGCGTTTTATTTGGGAAAGTGGTTCGAGCTAGCTGTTGCTGCAATGGCCCCCAAAAGAAGACCCGTTCCCCTGAACATTACGCCCATCGGTGAGGGACAGGCCACCTCCAACACCATCGATGCGGCATCTGAGTAAGTAACCACAGGAAGTTAAACCAGGTTGAGCTCGTGTACGTTCACTGGTTTGATAACGAGTCAAATTTGACACAAAATATGGAGTTCACGTTGTGAGTGTGTCAGTTTATTGTGTGAAATGCTAGTTTCTTAGTTGTTTTGCCCTCTGATGATGTGTTGTGGACCTCAAGGTTTTGTAGGATAGCTTCTGTTTAATCATGTCTTCCTCCACTGTGTCCTCCTCCAAAGAGCCAACCTGGAGGCCCTGCAGAAGAAACTGGGCGAGCTGGACCTGGATGAGCAGCAGAGGAAACGACTGGAGGCCTTTCTCACCCAGAAAGCTCAGGTCGGGGAGCTGAAAGACGAGGACTTTGACCCCATCTGCGAGTTGGGGGCCGGGAACGGCGGAGTGGTCAACAAGGTCCGCCACAAGCCCTCGGGGTTGGTCATGGCTCGGAAGGTAAACGCGCACATTTAGTTTGGATCTTTGACATCTGCTTTGACATCCATACCCAAACTCAGCCACCGGGATCTTTAAAATGAGACTTTAATCCATTTGCAGGCTGTAAACTGGGATTTTTTAATAATTTCAGTACGAAATCAGACTGAAAAGAAAAATAACTTCAATTTTCCACATTTGTGTGACATCTTATTGGATACAAAGTTTTTTTTTTGTGAGTTTATGATTAACCAGCTGGTTTGTTATTAAAATATTAAAGCATAAAGCTACACGTGTAATATAAAAGCCCTCAGATCTTGTTTTAGGCCTCATACAGACAGCAGCAGCTTCAGCGAGTCGAAGCTGGTCTGCTCTTGTGTGTTAATGTGTGACAGCTTATCATTTATCGTTCTGTTTTATAGTTATGGTTATGGGACAGATCCTTCTACTTCTCTATGTAGACTGACCAGTGGGAGTCCTTGTCGTGCTAATGCTAACAACGGTCGGCTTCATTTTGATGCCGTTTATCAAGTTTTTATCTAAAACTGAGGCCCTGAGTTATGTAACCTCAGGGTAGTCATGTTTCCGCCCTCTCTCTTCCTCAGCTGATCCACTTGGAAATAAAGCCCGCCATCAGAAACCAGATCATCAGAGAGCTGCAGGTGCTGCATGAATGCAACTCCCCCTACATCGTGGGCTTCTATGGAGCTTTTTACAGCGATGGGGAGATCAGCATCTGTATGGAGCACATGGTGAGAGACACAAACGGGCCTGAAAATAAGGCTTTCAGGACTTATAAACAGCTGTGAAACGCATGTGTTCTGAATAAATGATGTTTAGCTTTGCCACCAGTCCCATAGAGTCTCTTTGCTCTTTACAGGATGGTGGATCATTGGATCAGGTCCTTAAGGAAGCCAGAAGAATCCCAGAAGATATCCTTGGAAAAGTTAGCATAGCTGTATGTACACGTCATATTCCATGAATTCTTCTTCTTTTTTTCAATGTGTGGATGCATTTTGAAATTGTTGTGGATCTCCCAGGTGGGATTCACTTCAGATATTGTTGCTGAATACAGATTTGTCCTCATTTGAACCGAGAATCTGCCGTTACGTAGCATAATGGAGGAGTCCGTGCGGGTTCCCTTATCTCCCGCCCCAGTCAAAGTGCTGTAGCTGAATCACCGGATTGTTTGTTTTCATTATCTGTAAAAGAGAAAAAACTCCCTCTGGGTGCTTGTTTGAAATGGTTTTTGCTCTCGTTTCCTAGGTGTTGCGGGGATTAGCTTATCTGCGGGAGAAGCACCAGATCATGCACAGAGGTAAGCGTGCGCTGTGTTCCAGGCTGGGTTTGGTGCCCCAGCTAGCATTAGCCTGCTGACATTAGCCTGCTAACACTACCCCACTACCATTAGCCCGCTAACACTACCCTGCTGGCTTTAGCTTTCTGGCATTAGCCTGCTAGCACTAGCCTGCCAGCACTAGCCTGCTGTTATTAGCTTGCTAGCATAAGCCTGATAATACTGCCCTGCTGGCACTAGCCTGTTAACACTACCCTGCTAGCTTTAGCCTGGTGGCACTAGCCTGATAACACTACCTTGCTGGTATTAGCCTGCTAGCTCTAGCCTGCTGCGTGGGCTCTTGAGCCGCCGTGCTGCTCTGTGAAGGATGTGCTGTGCGAGTTCTTCACACGACTTTCGAACAAAGTGGTTGAGTCACCACTCGGTGGGCAGCACAGCAAAGGATGTTTGTCCCAAACTTCCTCCTGCAGCTGCCTGTTGCTGGCAGAGTCTCTCTGTGGAGGTTCTCACGCACACAGTAACAAACCTGAAACATCCGGACTTTCATTGGAGGTGCGTCTAAATCTAATTAGACAAGATAAAACCTCAGACTTTGCTACTTTGACCAAGTACATGTATTCAGGTAGGATTATTATTTCTAGTCAAATATGGTTGGTTACAGTCTGATTTTAGGCCCGGGAGGATTCACTAATGGTTTCCTCTGTTAGCACGAGGATGCTAATGAGCAGCCGGTTGGCCGTCCTTTCACCTGGACGACGCCGGCCTTTTCCTGAAAGCGATCCCAGATGTTTTCAGCTTGGGGGGGGGGGGCAGACGGGCTGCTGTGGGGCCGTGAGGTTGGACTGGCCTCGGGGTCAGTGGTACTCAGGATGGAGTTGTCTGTGAGCTCGGGCGGTAATTACAGCCTCTCGGATGTGATTATAGAGCAGCCGCGCCCTGCTGACCCCTCCCTCCCTCCCTGTCTCCCTCCATCCTTTCCACTCCCTCATGCCACTTCTTTTTTTTTTTTTTCTCAGCTACTTTTCGTGTGTCCTTGTTCAGTGGGAGTGGGGTCACACACCACAGAGAGCTGATTACAGGGCTCCTTTCACCTTTTTTTCCCTTAGCTTCTGAAAGGATGTTTTTGGTGATAAATGTGATGTGGAGGACTGGGGGGGGGGGGGTTCTGGGGCCGCCGGGCTCCAGTGGACCTGTTGGCTTAAGCTGGAAAACGCTTTAAAGCCATTTTTAATCCACATCTTTCCACCTATCTCTGCTAATTTGTTAAGAGATAATATTGTAGAAGTGTTTGAGATTCTTATTTTATTACAGAATCCCGACTGGTCCCAAATGCATCTTAAACATAAAGGCAACTGAAGCTCAGAAACAAGGAAGGAACTTTTTTTTTCTTTAAGCCGATGATTAAAAAGATCTCTGAGTTCTTAGTGTGGGTTTAGATACTAAGGCTGAGTCTAGAGGGGAGATTCTGTTAGTAATCCAGCTCTGCGGCGAATCTACCAACAACCAAACGTGTTTAAGACCAGCCTAAAATGATAGTTTGTTACCCAGGATGAGATGAGGCATCAAGCAGGAGCTGATCTCCTCTGGATGTGAAACAAAATTTTTTTAAAAGGTCCTTTTTATTTATTTTTTTGTTGTTTATTTAACTGTGGCATCAATTAAGCTCAGTTTCATTCAGCCAATTAAAATCCTGTGCACTCTACAGTATACAGTCGTTAATTAATTCCCTCCTAATTGGTCTTGATGCATAAAATATGCTCAAACTGCATTATTTTAATGACAGGAAGCCACCAGTGGCCCGTCTGCATGAGAGACTTAAACGAGGATACAACAACCGTTGTGTGTATCCATGGAGGAAAGGATCCGCCGTCGTCATGACGTTTGGTTGTGATCATTAAAAGAAAAAAAGAAAAGAAAAGGCTTAAAGAGGACGTCTGACCTTCAGTTTGTCTCCAACTTAGATATTTAATTCCATGTCCGAGCTAAATGGGAGTTTGGAGCAAATGCAGCCGCCTGCTGTTTGGTTTGAAACTGAACGGGGAATATTAATATTGAGGATTAATTTAGAAATATTGAGGGTTAATGTAGAAAAATTTAGAAAAAAAAAATGTTTTTAAATGTTCTCCTGGTATCTGTGTGGGACCATGTGGGTCTTTAAGTTTTCCCATCCCTGTTTACGGTCGGTTCGTTCCCAGGAAAGTGGAAGAGTGGAAGTTTAAGGGTCTATTCTGTTTGTTTGTTTGTTTGTTTGTTTGTTCCCTCCGCCTCGCAGACGTCAAACCCTCCAACATCCTGGTCAACTCTCGCGGGGAGATCAAGCTGTGCGACTTTGGCGTGAGCGGCCAGCTCATCGACTCCATGGCCAACTCCTTTGTTGGAACGCGCTCCTACATGTCTGTGAGTCAGCACT